CCCTTCCCCACCGTAGTCGCAAACCAACCCAACCCCTTTGTGAGCGCCGCAACGGGATCATTCTGAAAATCATTTAACCCCGGAATCACGCCATTACCATCTTGCTCGTTCCGCGTAGAGGCAGAAGGGGGCGGCATCCCGCCCCCGAACCCCGTAAACCTCCCACCCTGCGACGGCGCCACATTCTCCGGTCTATTCGCATTTTCTCCCCCCAGGGATGCAAAATATGCCTCATTGCGCTCTTTCTTTCCCGCACCCAGCGCTTCAGGGGATATAGATCCACCGGGTGCTTTACCCTTCCCACTACTTGAAACAGACACAGATGGCGTACTCGCTCTCGACGTCTGCATCTTCTTCTCCTCGCCAGGCACATACTCCCTACCCTCAACCTTCGCCGTCAACCTTGCCTTCCACTCATCTCCGACATCCCCATCATAGCGTTCTTTGATAGTCGAGTCCTCAAAGGTACGCCCCTCCGCGACGTTGGCCGCATGTTCGTCGAAGAAGAGCTTCCAGGCCTCATTGCCGCCGAGTTCCATGCGCTGGGTCTCACCGAGCTTGAAGGCGTCCATTGTTATGCTGCGGACGAAGGAGATGTGCACGCCCAGGCCGCGGTGAGTGCCGGCGCAGTTTAGGCAGATGAAAGTGCCGAATTTTGGGGAGGCCTGCAGTGTTGCGGAACGGGGTAAATGTGTTAGAATGGATATTTTGTAGCAAGGCACGTATATAAATCGGAAATGAAATGAACATGGAAAGGAAAAAAAGCATACCCATTGAGGCGACGGCGCGCCGCAATCACAACATCGATCATTGCCCTTGGTTTTCTGAATGAGTAGGAGCTATATTCAACTCGAGCCGCGCGGCACAATTCACCGTTCCTGCAATGTCAGCGAATCAATGCTTTGGTTCAAGTTGTATGCCACATAGTGCTACTGCCCCAAGCAAGAAAAAAAATGATAAAGCGGATAACACTGCAGAACAAATAAAAAAACAGCATACCTTACCCCTCGTCTCCGGATCCACCTCCCAAATCTTCGACATCTTCTCTTCTTCTTCTCTTTCCCTTCCTCACATACGCACACACGCACACACGCACTATCTCACTCCGTCTCTCTCTCACACACTTTCGTCTCACGTTTATGATAAAAAGGACCCCAGCCCAACCCCAACAAACAGATATCCCTCTGCCCCAGAGGCAGACTTATCCCTCTAGACAACTTCTCTCAACAACACGTTATAGATATAATATAATCTTCCTCACCCTCCCGTCCAATCCTACACACACAAACCGCTAGCGGATGTTTTGGGCACAAGCACGGAGGGCTAAGTTTAGGGGGGAGGGCGGGAGGCTGCGGCAAGTCGAAGCCCAGGGAGCCGGAAACCGGAAATGATGGAAAGTGGTATCGCGGGAAACGGAAGCGGAGGCGGAGGCGGAGGCGCAAGCGGAAGCGGTAGTGGGGGACGGGGATTGTGGTGGGTGGGGAAGTTGTCCGAGAGAAGATAAAAGAAAGAAAAGAAAATCTGACAGTGGATAAATTTCGCTGTCCTGTCAGGTTCTCCTCAACGTCTTTTCTTTTGATGTTCCGTTTTCAAATTCCAGTCAGTGTTCAAACAAAAAGTGCGACTTGGCTTGTATTCTTGTCCTTCACTCTCTTTTTCGGTTTTTTTTATTCCAGTAGCTGCCGTGCGTTGGTCGTCGTTGATATAAGGTTTAACTACTCCCTAGTTAATTAACTTTCGCAGCTTCCCATAACTTTAACTTATAGAGAACTAACTTATTAAGTACTCTGTAACAAAACAGGGTTTTCTCCGTAGCTGCTTTCCCAGATCCTCAACTTCGCCCTCCACTTCCCTTGTCGCAGTCCCAGATGGCTTCAATTGCCGCGCCTCTGTCGCTCTCTGTCCTGAGGTCTATCTATCTTGTCTGAGTGCGCCAGGGAGGCTAGTGGGTGTAGGGTCTACGTGGTTGATCTGAAGGGGGTGGCAGCTCTAGACCAAAGTTCACGGCCCTCGATTTTTCTTCGCCCCTGAAATATGTTAAACAAACGGCAAGGAGGTATGGACACGATAAATTACACAGGTGAATCCAAAGAGCGAGAAACGAGTGTGTAATGGGGCTGGTGTGAAGGTGTGAGGTGGTTATAAGTTGTGTGTGGTTAAGCTCCTTCAGCTCTGATTGGTTCCCCCACCAGGCGTAGGGGCGGCTAGTCCCAGCACCGGCAGATATTTATGGTCTGAGGGAAGTCACATTTAAGAAAAGGAGGGTAAACGAGGAAATAATACAAATTCATAATTTGATTGAAAATATCTAAGATACATCGTAGGAAGTGGGCCATGAGGCCCAAATTGGGAAATTCTGCAATGGTGCTTTTTCCTGCTTGTCGATTGTCGATCGTTGAATTGCTTTTTTTTTTTCTTTTTTTTCTTTTTTTTTTTTTGTTTTGGTCTTCTTTCTCTTTTCGCGTTGTTTGAAATGGATACTTTTCCTGTGCGTTTTTTCCCTCGTTGGCATCCATCCCAAAGACCACCCTCTTGTAACGAAACCAGGAGAGGCAAGGGAAGGGGGCCTGGATAAGAAACGGCAAAAACAGTTCCAAGAGTCTGTAAAAAACAACATTTCACCATTTCAGCAATTTCATACAGCCCATTAACAGAATATTCATCAAAAAGCCTCAATTAATTGTCATATGCCTTGTTGTGGACCCCTCTTTTCAATCCCCCTATTCATTTTTCGTCGGGTAGGGCTACAGTCTTGTTGATTTAAGCGGCGACGGGGACGTCCGCGGTGGCTTCAGCGGGAGCCTGCTCTCCACCAGAGACGTCGTCCTCTTTGCCGGGGCTGTCGATAGCAACTTTGACCGCGATCTCACGTCCTTCGATTTCCTTGCCGTGCATCTCCTCAACAGCCTTGGCCTGGAGAGCCTCAGAGCCTAGAGTGACAAATCCGAATCCGCGGCCCTTGCGGGGCTCACCACGCGCGAGGAGCTTCTTGACCATAAAGCGTGGGATGGGTCGAAGGGCAATCTTAGCGGAGACGGGTTCGTAGGCAGCGAAAAGTTCCTTCAGCTGTAGAGTGGATGATGGTTAATATTTCCCTTAAACTACTAATTAGATTTACAGTGATGTCGAATCATAGTCATACCTTCTCCTCGCTAAGATCGTAAGGAAGGTTGGCAACCATAACCTTAGTCTTGGATGGGATACCATCTTCCGGTGGGCCACGCTGCTTGTGCACACGAGGACGTCCCTTAGCGTCCTTGGAGGCATCGCCAGTCTCGTTAGTCACATCAGCCAAGGGGGTTCCCTCAGTGGTTCCTTCCGCGTTCTCTCCATTCTGCTCCTTTGGCTGCGTCCGCTTCGCGTCAGTTAAATGGCATGTAAAAGTGTGGGAAGTGCGGAAAGTGTGTGCAGTGTTGGATGTCAAGAAACGGAAGGCACCGTTATCATGGTGGCGTGTGTGTAGAACGTGGATGACAAGGATAAAATAGGAAAGAGTTACATACCGCACGGCCACCACGGCCGAATCTGCCACCACGGCCACGTCCACGTCCACGACCGCGACCAGAGCCTCTCTTGCGACCTTCACCTCCACTAGCGCCCTCACCACCGCTAACAGCCTCGCCCTTGTTCTCAGCGGGCTCGGGCTTGCGGGCAAGTTGGACTGACACCTTTCGCTCAAGGATTTCCTTGCCAGAGAGCTCAGCAATGGCAGCCTGGGCCTCGTGCGCGGTAGCAAGATCGACGAAGGCGTATCCAACAGGGCGGTTGGTACGAGGGTTCACGGGGATGGAGGTGTTTTCACTATAGTGGTGTAGATATGTTAGTTAGATACCATCACAATCAGACGCATGTGATAAGGTGTCTTTGTTCTTTGTGTATTTTGTGCATTAAAAATGACAGCATTCTGCATCTAATCCAGTTGCCAACCCCTCAGACAGAGCAAAAAAAGTTCAGCCATGCCACAGTTATGATAGTGACAATAATCTTCACTTTTTTCTCTTGGTGTCGAATTTGTTATTCAAATAACAGCATTTAACTGTGTAGCACAGCATACACAACAAGTTATCTTTTTTTGGAGAAATGGAATACGATGCAAAGGAGATAAAACAAAAAAAAAGAAAAAGAAAAAGAAAAAGAAAAAAAAAAGAAGGAAGGTACTAACATGGTGTAAGCCTTGAAGAAGTCCTTGAGTTCCCCCTCTGTGGTCGCATATGCGAGATTCCCAATATACAAGCGACGTCCCTCATCGGCACTGGCAGCAGTGGCATCGGTCTGAGCAGCAGCTGCGGGAGTAGCGCCATTGGTAGTGTCGTTGATGGAGACAGCGGCCATATTATCGGCCAGTTCGTTGGCAGTCGACATGATGTTGGAGGGCTGAGTGTGTGTGGGTAACGGAACACGGGGGGGGGTGATTGATTGAAAAGGGGGTGTATGTACCGCTGCGAGATTGAACTCAGGAAGCTGAGCTGCCTTTGGGGACTTGAAAGGAGGGGGTGGAAGGGTAGCTTAGTGCCCTAGATACTGGAGAAGATGATGAAGATGGGGGGGGGAGTTGGAGCTTGCTCGTATGGAGATGGTTGTCGACGTGGTGAGAGGGAGGAAGAAGAAGAAGAGAAGAAAAGAAGACAGGGAAGAAGCAACCGACCGACCGCAGCAGAGATAGACGGGGAAAAGCCAAAGCGCCGCGCCAAGACCCGCTGCACCGCCAAAAGGGGACCAAATTCCCCAAACAGGCAAGGCCGGCCCTGGCCCCTCCTTACCTCAGCCACGGTTTAGCCGCCAAGCCACCCTGCTAGTACAGTTCTATACGGTATTATACGGCTCTATGGTAATAATTGTCGTTGAATTCTGCCGGGTAGGTTGGCTGCCAAGGCCCATTGGTGGCTTTTCTTCCTGTAATACCGGATACCTGATCTCCACCCAACCCGCAGACCTGACAAAAGGGTGTTTATCTCACCGCATCCTGCCATTCCTCGTCTTTTTACTCTTTAGGCAACTTCCGTGCCACAAACAACTGTTGAGTCTCCTCTGAACTCTCTGGGTTTATCTCGGACTGGGATATCATACAGTGTCTACCTTACATGTACTTGTTATGGTCACCTTTGTGACATGGAATGAAAAGGGAATAAATGGAGACAGAAACTCCCAGTCCAGTGCAGTTGGAAACATTGCTATGGACTGTACATGTACATGTCCCACCTCCTCCCTATATCCATTTTCAAATCACCAACATGTCAACCCCTGTACTCACTCACACTGCCCTCACTCACACTGTCCTCAATCACACTGCCTTCACTGCAGTTGCACACAGGATCCCGCGGCTAAGGGGGTTTGCGCCATCCCAACCGACGCAGGCTGGGATGAGGAAGGGGTTTTCTCTCTCTTTCTTCTTTTATTTTAGCGGGAGATATATATTTATATATATATTTGTAGATCGTGCTCCAAATCCTGGCGCCCAGATCCGGGTCTTGCATGCCGCTCTGATTCCAGGGGGGAGCAATTTGCTGGTCAACCAGCAAATATTCGCATCGCTTCTCGCGCGCGCCCCAGGTTTAACTATTGCTGGGCAATGGAGAGGGAACCTTTCCGTCATGCTGTTGGTGTGACAGCAACAGCTCAAAAAATCACTCTTAAATCATCCACGTTTTATATTTCTCCATGCCGGATACCGTCTGCTGCTTTTGGCTTTTTGCAAGCGTTTTCTCAGCCGTGAAATGCGGCTTTGCGAACTGGACTTTCATCAAGTATCAACAACATCTACATGATCCTGTCGAAATGCCTCTAAGTTCTGGCGAGCTATCTATATACTCTCTGGAGTTCCTGTCCGCTTCCTGTTTATCTAGCTTTTTTCCAGAGTATTGCCTGTTGCGGACAATACTTTTTTTTAATTTGCCCTTCCTCCATTCTTTCTTTTTGCTTCAGGATAATGTTGCTGAAGCACATCGTTTTCACCATATGCGGGGTACGTGAATGTGGTTACCTGCATAAACATGTACAGAAGATCCAAAACTACCTGGCTTGCTGATTGTTGAGCATATCAAAATACTGGCTTGGTTCCTTTTGGGCAAGGTAATTAATTGTATTGGGCCAATAAATCAAGCTCATCCAGCTTGATTTTGAAATATCTTGATAATTTACCTCCAGGTATAATTGAATGGGAAGTGGAAGGTTAGAATCTACATGAACACCAGAATTGCTGTGTTATGCAGTAAATTTGTCTGTGAATGTGTTTATTCTTATAATTGAATATCTGTTCACACAAATTTCTTCATTCTTTGTTAGAATGCATTCAGTCACTGATTCCTTCTTTTGTGTTCTAACTGTCATCTTCTTTTCCTCTCTTCAATCATTGTCATAACTGTTCATCTGAGTCTTCTTTCTGTGTCTATATCATATTCCCACCTGAACTTCCTTAGCTTTCAAGCTGGTTTTTCAACAATACCTCTACTTGCAAATAAATAAGTGATCACCATGAATGAACAAATTCCTCTCATAGTCCTCGATTCTGATGATGAAGATGACATTCAAATCACCAGTGTTTCTGTGTGTGCTAAAAACAGAATCAACTCGGATCCAAGATGCTCCCAAGGAGTCTCTAACTCCAGCAACTACCAGCAGATAGGTTAGGAAGTCCTATACCCCACTCTCCCGGTTTTGCAAGGCCTTATCTAACCCTTACCAAAAAATATATTAGGCAGTTCTTCCGCTGCGAATGGCGTGGATGGCCAGCAAGTAACGGCAACTGGACAAACTCAAGGCGTTGCCCATCTGCTCTACCCAAGCACGGCAGAATGGCTTCCTCAATCTACTACCATTTCCATCGAGCGCAGCCCTTACTTTCCGTTGCCCTCCCCGACGATCTCCCTTTCGGTTTCAGGAAATGCCAGTGAAAATAATCAGGCCTCTTCTCCATATCCAGCGCGTGCCCTTGCAGAATCCATTGCATCTCCCAGACATGAAAAAAAAGCTCAACAGGTGGTTTCATCCGGTTTACCGTTTACGAAACAGTTCTTTACGGACATGGCGGATGCCATAGCACATGTTTTTCCCTATGGCGAATTGGCGCGCAAGTACAAATGCAGCGTCGGCCAGGTAAATCGTGCTTTAATTGCCGTTGTGCTGGATCCGTTGATGAAGAGAAATGGGGGACTAGTGAGTTGCCCAGACAGCAACGGGCAGGAAGGGGAGCAGGAGGAACGTGGGCAGACTCCTGTGCAAGAGACATGGAATTCTCCCAATGTTCTGATAAACAAGTGGAACAAACGGCATCAAGAAGAAATGGTGTCTGTGCTGCAGAGAGAAAGCGAAGGGAATGGTCTGCCATTCGAATTCGATCAGAATCTCGTTGCGGCATCGGGGAACGCGGAAGCTTATTGGAAAGCGAGGAACGCTGCGTTTGATGTTCATAAAACCTTTCAGGATGCAAGGCAGAAAGGGAGGGCTGAGGAAGGGTCGGCAGAGCAGGAATCGGGACATAAAAATCTACAACAGCAGTTGGAGGATGTGGTAGAAGCTGGAGAGCCAGAAAGTCAATTTCCTCAGGCTGAGATTGAGACGGCAGCTGGAGCGACTCTTTCGCTGCAAGAGAAGGAAGTCCCAGAGGACGGATCTAGTGCATCTAGTCGTAAGCGCGCAAGGAGTTCATCGGAAACTGTCGACGGAAAGGCTGCTCCGGCTCATGGTAGGGACAGCAGCCCATCTACAGCGACCTCGCCCGTGCTCTACCAACTATATTCACCTCCCCCATCGAAGAAAGCAAAAACAATAACATACCAATCGACCCCCACCCAGACATCGCCGGAAGAATCCGTCGGCTTGACGCCTAGCTTGCACCATCCCAATCCTAAACGTCCAGTGGCCACCGACGGGTCGTCTGACACATACATACTCAACAAATTCCCCTATAGCCGGAGAAATAATACAGACGACCATCCTCCTCCAACCCCTTCCCCACCCTCATCCGCTTCCTCGACTGGATCGTCACAATCTCCAACCGCCCAAACCCCAACACCACTCCCCAGATCTAGATCTCTCCCCAACAGCCACACCACCATCACCACCACCAACAGCCTACTCCCCAATCCCAAAACCTCCACCCCTCGACCAAACCTCTTCACCCGCTCCACGCACCGCCACGCAGTCACGATCGATAAATTCGGCAACTACCAGCGCGAAAACCAGAACCGGCAAAAGAACCAGTACTCACCTCCATCCTCATATAAGAGGGATAACACCCTCCTCCCCCGCCCCGATGACCTCCTTCGTAGACCACCCGCCAGGACTCAGCGCGAACCGACGGATAGCGGTGACGAATGGGACGTTTATGACCCGTACTATCACGCAGGGGCTGATGAGACGACAAGAGTGTTTACGGAGGGGTTGTGGGGGGAGTTGCTTGGGAGGTTTGGGATGGAGAAGGGGCAGGGCAGGCGAGAAAAAGGAAGAGAGCGGGAGTTAATGGGCTTGGAGTTTGGGCTGGCGCAGATTGAGGTGAGCGGGAAGGGGAAGGGGGGGATGCTTGGTGTTTTTGGTGGGGATGTGAGTGGGAAAGGCAAAGCTGTTGAGGTGAGAGGGGGGAGCCGGGGGGATGGGGAGGGGGAGAACGAGGATGGGGATGGGGATGATGATTATGATGATTAGAATGCTGCTGGAGAAGGGCATGGGAGGTGGGAGAGCGCGTGAGGCGGAAAATTGAGACGGGAAGATCGTGGGATGAATAGACTGTGGGGATGCACCGTGGGCTGTAGCTGCTGAGTGTTCAGGTTTGTGGTCCTCTAGAGCGACCTCAGGCCTATAGGTATATGTTTCTTCCTACTCTGGGATACGAATTAAGATGTGCCCTGGATTTATCGAGCTTGTTTTACTAGGCACCTACTTACCTGTGTGGGTAGAGTTGTTATGTGAAAATACGGACACGGAAATGATTGAGTTGCGAATGAACATGTTGTGAAGTTACCTGGAGCAGTTAATAGAAATAAAAAGATCTGACAACCTGGCTTTCCCCCCTGATCTATGAATTTCTGAAATGGTATCTATCCTTTTGGAATACTTTCATGCAATCCTCATGAGTTTTCCTATCAACTTTAAACAAGATGCCAGATATGCTTGAGAATGGAAAAAACAAACTCGTCAGATCCTCCCTCCAAAGAGCAAAATGGGAGAAAAGTAGGTACTGCACATGTACCTGGGTATATTGCATACATACATGCTTCGCGTGGGAACAAGATACGTACGCTAAAACCGAAAAACATAAGCATAAACGACACAGAGCATGAACGAAAATATGGACCTCAAAGAAAGGAGACAATCATTTTTCTTTCCCCCCTTTCACCCATTTCACTGTCGCTCGCATTTCTTCCGGTATAAAACAAAAGAAAAAAGAAAATCAGACTTCAGTAGAAAATGGACATCGCAAACCAACAATGGAAGATACAACCAGCGCTTCAAAATGGTGGCATATCCGTTAAAACGTACATGAGAAAATTAAAACACACTTCCGGCGGGGGGTTGTGTACTCGTAACATATATATTAAGGGGGACAAGAAAAGAAGACACCTGCAGCACAAAAAAAAAAAGAGAAGAGACAAAATAGAAAATCATTTTATATTTTATTCACTTCAGATCAATCAACCAATACAACCCACCCCTACCGATCCGCGTACCGATCATTAAAACTCCCCGACGCCTGTGATCGATGCCCAGCCCCATACGCACCAGTATAGCTGGTATCATAATCATGCAAATAGCTACTGCGACCAGCATCACTGGCGCCCGGCAGGGGGGTGCTATTTACACCACCATCGTGGTCCCTCGTGGGGTCATACATGGGGGGTGCTGCTGCTGCTCCATGCGGAACTCCGCCCATATCGTCCGCCTCGCTGTTATGTAGTAGCGTATACTCGTCGTCTGGGTCTCGGCGGTATCCGAGGGATGATGATGAGGGTCCGCCGCCCGTTCCTTCTGTGGAGCGTCGGCCGGAGCGGAATTCGGCATCCCGGTCGTCTTCATCTTCGAAGTCGTGGGCGGGATTCGAGGAGAAGGCGGCTTTGGAGTGGGCGGCGAATGAGGGGTCGGAAGAAGAGCCTTCGTAGGGCAAGGTGCCGCTGCGCCGGTATTCTGAGAGGTTGCGGATGGACATGTAAGAGGTAACGCAGAAGAGCAGGCTGGTGGGAGGAGGTGGAGGAGAATGTGAGTTAGTTTTAACGTTGAGTACATTCTCAGTGGCTGGGAAGAATTTACAAAGCCCTACTTACCATACTATCACGCCTAAGACGGCAGTTCCTGTGCTCAGGTTGCACTTTGCGGGGGTGCCAAATTTGAACGCATCGCAGCCACTCTTGCCCTCTTTCTCCTTATCCTCGTCATCATCTTTATTTCCTCCACTTTTGCCTGCGGCGACGTAAGATGCAACAGCCACCCATGAAGCAAACCAGAGGATCCCGAATAGCACATCGAGAATTGCGAAAGCATACGCATTGCCGAACCTTCGTGTTCGCGGCCATAGGGGCACTGCGGCTAGGTAGATAAGGGCGGGGGCGGTGATCCAACACTACATGGCTCCCCCCCAAAAAAAAAGAAAAGGGGGGAGACAGTTAGCAATTGAGTCCCTTTTGGAGCTAGAGCAACCGGAGTTTCTGCTCCTAATAGCTCTTTGGATTTTCCTCCCTGGGTAAATCGCACATACCAGAGCAAAATAGTACGCCGTCCGACCATCTGTGCTTCCCTTTTGTGTGAACACGCCGATGGTAAGGGCCCAGCCCAGAAACACGACGAAGCCCTGGAAGGCATGAAGAAGCATCTTCACCCTAGGGAACTGAAGTGACCCAAACATAATGAAGGGCTAACTGTATGTTGTGGTATGGTATATAAAGTGGTCTGTGTAGCCCCTCCTAATGGCCGTCTTGTAAACTGCTGGTATGTTCTCCACCCCGTATATGTATCCCAAACCGAATACGCTCGCTTTAGTACGTTATTCGCTCGTAAAACGATAGCGATAATTATACAAACGGTTTTGCTGTAGGGTGTTAGGTATTAGATAGCCGTTCTGGTCAATGAATGAGGGTAAATATGTAATGCGCTTGCTCGTTTGTGTTATCGACGTGGGTAAAAATAAGGCAGAAAGATAGCTAACTAACTTAGCTGCCAGGAACAAGGTCAAAAAAGTAGGACGGACAAAGCGAAAGAAGACGTGAAACAGGAATGACAATTTAACAGTCAATCAGGAGCTCATCCCTACTGTAGAGAATAGAAGGGAGGGGTGTGTGAGAGAGAGAAAGAGAGAAAAGCGATGCCTGGTGGTTCTGTGACCGTGTCGGGGTTGGTGGTGAGGCTGAGCTGTGTCGGAGCTTGCGGCGGCGGAAATCCCAGGATTGTTTGTTTGTTTATTAGGGCTGGATGCCGGCGGTTTATTAGTTATAGATCTAACTACCTAGTCCAGGCAGGGCAGCTGAATCCATAGCAATTTACAGCGTACTCTTCTCCGCTCGATACGACACCAGGGCCTACTCTATAATCTTGACTGTTGTTATTCTTTGCTTTCTGTGAGCTACTCACTGCGTAAGGATCTTGAGATGTGAAACGGCAGGTTGATTCAAGCTGTGTGCGTTTTTTGCCTGCAAACTTCAACTTATTTACTTCACGTCAACCTCCACGGCAACCCCTGACTAACGACCTTTTCAAACGGGATTGTCAACAGGGCAATCAATCACAACTAAGATACGCTTGGAGGGTTCTATAGTAGCATTCCAAGACAAGGCCTAGCATTATTCTTATGCTTATCTCTCTATATATTATAGAAAAACCAACTTTTCCGAGTAAAATGCCCTGTAACGTGACCTCACATGATATCACATGCACTTCATTAAATCCATGAACAGGATTTACTTATCTCAGTAAACTCAGTCACTTCACTCTGAGCTAACTCAATCTGAACTACTGCTACTTTCTGTCAAGTCCTGCTAATATCTGAGTCAATTAACTATCACAGAGCTTACACTAAACCTAAATGAGATATTCTCAGTAAACTCTTTGTAAAGTATCTGAGAAAAAACAGTTTCTATTTATTAGTAACACAGAAATAATTTACTTTAATTATAATATTTAAGATAGAATCACTGTATAATATTACTTATAGATTATTTCTCTATTATTTTAAAGAATTAATTTTTCAATTTTCTATTAATTGATATAATTTTTATCTGAAAATATATATATTCTGAGTATAAAGTATTACATTGAAAACTACTATTATAATTTTAAATATAGAAATAATTTACTAATTTTTCAATTATAATTATATCTAGTTATTCAATATCTTAATCTTACTATTAAAATATCTATTCAGTTATAAGAGACTATAATTAAAGTATTAAGTATATTTTTTAATAACTTTTAATAACTTCTAATAACTTCTAATCTCTTAATAATCTTATACAGTATATTAATTTATAATAACTTCTAATAACTTCTGAGATCTTTTAATAACTTCTGAATTAATTATATAATACTTCTTTTTAACAGCTGAGTTACTTTTTAATAGCTAAGTTAAATAATATCTCATTAACTATATTAAATATAACTAAGAGAGATTGAAGAAAATGTGTAAGTCAGCTATAATTAGACTGACTGCTGAGACTATGAATTTCATATTTAATCTCATTTAATCTGATCTCATACATTTCTTGGCGTGAATCCCGCTGGGACTGACTATTAAAAAAACATGCAAAGTGACTATATATCAGATTTTAAAATGAGATCATAACTTGAAAAAAATGAGAAAGTGATTTCATTTAATCTCATTTAGTCTCATTCTTGATATAAAGTTACTATTTTTAGACATTTTAAGGTTTTTTTTAGACTATTTTTAATTTTTTAAAAAGTAATGCTTTTTAGTAACACTTAAATGAGATTTAAAGTCATTTAAAGCAATAAAAATAATTTAAATTGAGAAGTGAAAATCATGATCTCATTTGAAAAATGTGATAAGAGTAGACAGTAAGTCTCACTGAGACAGTATGAGACTACTATCTAATGTTAAAATCATGTAATGAGATCAGTTGAATTGATAATGAGACTATCAAAAAATCTGGTCCTGGTCTCAGACACGGTCACACGGTCAGTCTAGTTATAATAGTGACTTTAAAAGTTATCATTAAAGTAAAAACTTTTAATAAATATTAAAGATATGTTATAACTTGTTATAAATTATATCAGATCAGATAGTATTAATAAGTAATAGAATATTATTTAGTATTATCTTTAATAAATACTTTAAGATCTGTATTCAGATTCTAAGTATACTTTTCAGCTATATATAGAATAAGTCTGTATACTTTAGTGTATAATATATGAAAGTTAATAATATTCAGATCAGAATTGTGATTGAATTTTATAAAGAAGAAAGTATTAATAAGATATTTCAGCTTCTGTTTAAGTAAGATAGTATAATATTAATTATTATTAAATATCTCTGCTTTGAAAAGTACTGAATATAGTGTATTTCACTGCTTTGTAGAAGTACTGTATTATTAATAAGTTAAGATATCAGAACTCTGAATTCAAGTCTCTATAAAGATCTTTATTTCTTAACTGTTTTACTGTAATATTCTCTCTATATATTATAGAAAAATTAACTTTTCTGAGTAAAATACTCTGTAACATAACCTCACATAATATTATATACATCTCATTAAATTTATAAACAGAATTTACTTATCTTAATAAACTCAGTCACTTCACTCTGAGCTAACTCAATCTGAATTACTGCTACTTTCTATCAAGTTCTGTTAATATCTGAGTTAATTAACTGTTACAGAGCTTATACTAAATTTAAATAAAATATTCTCAGTAAACTCTTTGTAAAGTATCTAAGAAAAAACAGTTTCTATTTATTAGTAATACAGAAATAATTTACTTTAATTATAATATTTAAGATAGAATCACTGTATAATATTACTTATAGATTATTTCTCTATTATTTTAAAGAATTAATTTTTTAATTTTCTATTAATTAATGTAATTTTTATCTGAAAATATATATATTCTGAGTATAAAGTATTATATTGAAAACTACTATTATAATTTTAAATATAGAAATAATTTACTAATTTTTTAATTATAATTATATCTAGTTATTCAATATCTTGATCTTGCTATTAAAATATCTATTCAGTTATCAGAGACTATAGTTAAAGTATTAAGTATATTTTTCAGTAACTTTTAATAACTTCTGATAACTTCTGATCTCTTGATAATCTTATACAGTATATTAACTTATAATAACTTCTAATAACTTCTGAGATCTTTTATCACGCTTCCGGCCGCGTCAAGGCCTTATTGCAGTTTCACACGGCTTATCACTTTCATACAGATGATTTCATCTTATTCAAACCAGTTTTCAATCACTCTATAATATTATTCAGATATATTATAGAAAGATCTGATTGATAAATATAAGAACTCTGCTTCTATACAAGATCAGCAGATTACTTTTCCTTAGTAGTGAAATATCACTGAGATATCACTCTGACTATTCTCACTTATAAAATGAAAGAAGGTATTCACTCATTATCTATATAGAATAGCTAGATGCTAGCTTCTTATAAAAGAAGGTATTCACTCATTATCTATATAGAATAGCTAGATGCTAGCTTCTTATGAAAGAAGTCAGTGATTTATTTTTCTTCTACTGAAATATATATAAGAGTTACTGCATACTCTATACAATTTTCTTAGTATACTAAGTATTATATCTGTGATATTCTCACAGTAACTCTGTAGTCTACAAGCTTGCTATTTAAGTAAAATAGTTAAGCTCACTTATACAGCTTCTTAAATAACTATCTCTATATAATATCACTGACTAGTCATCACTTCAGTTTCATTATATTACAATTCAAATCACTCAATCTGATTATACATTTGAATCAGTCAAGCTTTAACAGACTGATATGACCTTATATATCTGTACTGAGACTGACTCAATCTCACTCTCTGAGAGAAACACTACATCATTCTCTAGAGTGTATACATCTCTATCTTAGCAGAAATCTGAGATTTCTGAACTCACTGTACATTTTAACATGAGCTCTTCAATTACTCTGTTACTGCTGTGATCTCTACACATCTACATCTATCATGAAGATAGAGAGATTAAGATTGAAGATTCTTTAAGATATAAGAGAAACATCTTGTCTGAATTTCACAGCTTTACTCATACTCTTGAATGAAAATTCCATCTTAACTCAAGTCAGTATAATACTCATAAGATATAAGTAATATACACTGTCAACCTTCTTGAAGGTATCTCTGTAACTACTTGAGCTATTAAGAAGAGAGAGCTTGAGTATATTAATACTGCTATAACTTGAAAAGAATTCAAGAACTTTCTACTGAATCAAATTAAAGATTACTACAATCACAGCTTCACAGTGACACAGTAATTCAACTTATTATATTAATAAAATGATGAGAATTCTTTCAATTTCAATATAAGATTTGAAGAATATTGAGAGAAATTAACTGATGATTTGAATTAATTAAAAATACAGCTTTATCTCACAAAGCTGACTCATAAGATGTGAATAATAATATTATAATATCAGAGTTTATTAATTAATCACACTGAGCTTGTCAACCTGACTTTCTGAATCTATTTGAATAATCAATTCTTTAAGAAAAAGATTAATAAGATCTCTTCTAAGTAATTAATAACAGAATCTAAACAGTGCTGTGACAGCTTCAGTGCAGAGAAAGTAAAGAAGAATTTCAAGTATTCTGATTCTTCACTCACTGTAAAGAAATACTAAAAAAGATTTAACAAAGATCTCTGTTTTAACTGTGAAGCTGATAATCACTATATCAGTGATTGCAAGAAGTCAAAGAAGAGAAGAAATTGAGAAGATATTTTCTCAAAGTTAACTTCTCTTCTGATAAATATATTTATGAAAGATAAAGAAGAGAAAGAAAAGAATTGACAATTCTCACATCTCTGAGTTCATGTTACAATCACAATGTATATCTCAAATGAGAAGATATCAGTGAGATGTCTACTTGACTTCAGAGCAGATACTAACTTTATATTCTATTTCTTTTCTTTGATGAAGAATTGAAAGAAGATAGATCTGTTAGATCATGTGAAATTTACTGATGAAATAAAATGTCACTGTTTTAATATAATTCAAGCAAAGTGTGTGATCACAGACTCAGAAGAAATCTTTAAGAAAAGCAGTCTGCTTCTTCATACAGTTAATATTATAGATAAGAACATTATTCTAGATCTTTTATAATTGAGAGAAAACAATTCTCTCATTGACTAAGTCACTCAGATATAGTGATATCATCTCACTGATGAAGAGACAGTAATAGAGAAATCTGAAGAGTTTCATCAGAAGAATCTTGAGAAAAAGATTGAGTTAATATACTGTATAGCAGATGACTGAGACTTGAAAACAGATGAAAAAGTCATCACTCTCACTACAAGATTAGCAGCAGTATTCATCATTGAAGACAGATATACACAATATCTCTTTACAGATTTTAAGAATATCTTTTCAGAAATAGAAGTAACAAAGTTTTCTGATATTAAGATATAATATAAGATTTATCTTGAAGATGATATAACAGTGCTGTACAGATCTCTTTATAACTTGTCTGTAAAGAAATTGAATATTCTGCATAAATATCTTAAAGAA